CCACCATGCCCAGCTAATTTTTTGTATTTTTAGTAGAGAGGGGGTTTCATCATGTTGACCAGGATGGTCTCGATCTCTTGACCTCGTGATCCACCCGCCTCAGCCTCCCAAAGTGCTGGGATTACAGGCTTGAGCCACCGTGCCCGGCCTCATTTTATTTATTTTTTGAGACAGGATCTCACTCTGTCAGCCAGCCGGAGTGCAGTGGCACAATCACAACTCACTGCAACTTTGACCTCCTGGGCTCAGGTGATCCTCCCACTTCAGCCTCCTGAGTAGCTGGAACTATAGGCACACACCACCATGCCCTGCTAATGTTTGTATTTTTTGTAGAGACAGGATTTCATCATGTTGCCCAGGCTAGTCTCGAACTCCTGGGCTCAAGTGATCTGCCTGCCTCAGCCTCCCAAAGTGCTGGGATTACAGGCATGAGCCATCACACCCAGCCTCACATCAAACTCTTCAGGGATATGCTCTAACTTGGAATTGAGTTTTCAGTTATGTTTTGAAAATTCAAGTTTACCTTATGTAATAGAATATAAGCACAAAGTGTACTGATTTGCATCTAATAAAGGTCTCATTTGGCTAGTAAGGAATATATTTTTATATATCCTAACTGCCTTTTTGCACAAACTATTTCAGGTAGTGCACTAAAGACTGTGAGATAATACCTGATGGCATAATTTTTCTTAAAGTTGAATCAGCATACCCAAGTGAAAATATTCATAGGAGGACAAGTGCAATTAAAAGAATTTCTTTACCCAATTTATTTTCTTTTCACTCTGGATAATTTTTCTCTTAAGTGTAATTCACTTAAAAAGATAATATAAAATTATAATTGTATCATGAAATAATTTCCAGTTACCTTTCTCTCCTTTGTATTTGATTGCATCATAGTACACCTGCAGTAATTCATCAAAATCTGTTTTTTCTCCTCCCTGTGGTTCTACAATGACTGTCTTCACCAACTCCAGTTTATGCCATAAGCCAGTAGAGAGCCAACGTTCTTTCAATTTTTCTAATAACTAAAGAGAGGAAAGAAAAAAATTTTTGTGTGTGTCTAGCTAAACAAAACTTACCTTTATTTGTTTAAGCCAGTGTGACTACAGTAAGTATATTAATCTTTCTGCGTCTTTTCTCATCTATAAAATGAGGAAAACAATATATCTTATAGAGCTGTTATGGGGTTAAATTTATTAACAGATTTAGAGATTTGAATGGTGCTGGCACATAGTTAGCTGCTGCTGCTGTTGTTACCATTACCACCAACATTGCTGTTGCTGCTGCTGCTACTGCTACTATCTTGGCAATTTCAAAAGGAAAAACAAAAAACCTCTGTCAAAGTTAACAAACTATAAGTTCTCTCTTTAAACCTAAAGTGAAGTTTCTTAATGTTCTTAAATAGTCTTCAAATGAAGAAGATTTAAGATCATTTTACTAAGTATATAGGCAGATAAGCTCACTATTTGAATATTTGATCATCATTAATAACCTGCATCGAAAAAAGATATAAAGACTCAGCCAAGAAGTAGAAAAATATGTAGGCACAAATGGAATATTTACAGCCATGGGCTAGATTACAAAAGGACATTCAACAAATTTTAAGCAATCCTTATCATATTGATCATGTATTTCAACAATTATGCCACGGTAGATTAAAAGTCAATAATATAAAGTCATGGTAGATTAAAAGTTAAGCCCAAAACAAAAACCCATCTTGGCTGATTGATTGATTGATTTTAGAGACATGGTCTCTGTCACCCAGGCTGGAGTGCAGTGGCAAGATCATAGCTCAGTGCAGCCTCAAACTCCTAGGCTCAGGCAATCATTCCATCTTAGCCTCTTGAGTAGCTGGGACGACAGGTGCATAGCACTACACCCAGCTAGTTTTTATATTTTTTGTAGAGACAAGATACTGCTTTGTTAACCAGGCTAATCTCAAACTTCTGGTCTCAAGGGATCCTCCTGACTCAGCCTTCCAAAATGCCGAAATTACAGGTGTGAACCAGCTTACATGGCCATAAAACTCATGTTCTTAAAAACCCTATGAGTTAAATAGAAAAACACAGTAGAATTCATGAACTCTTTAGTTATGAATAAGAAAAGCACTCACAATTCAAAACATGTGGCATACAGCAATAGCAATACTTAGAAATAAATTTATAGCTTTAAATATATTCTTAAAATGTCAAAATAAAAGAATAAAATATTCTAAGAAGCTAGAAAATGAAATATAGCAAATGCAGAGAGAGAAGTTTATAAAACTGAATAAATGAAGAAGGCAAAAGCCAATATTAGAGATTATTATTTAAATTAAACTGTTTTATTCGCTTGTGATAAACTATGAGTTCTACACAATGTGGACCAGTTAAAGAAACCACCCCAAATTCTCTGGAAAACAGCAACTGATCGATTTTTATAAGATAGTTTATTTCCTCAATTTTACCTTTAACTGTTTTTAAACTTCTTAATAAGACCATAAAACAAATTTTGTACCACTAATTAGTAAAATAGTTAATTGCTATACAGTCATCAGGATTCCTTGATGAATAAAAATTAAAATTCCCCTAATAACCATGTTATTGGGTTAAAAGCAGAGCAATCATTGATCTAAAAGTCTTTTCTATTTTGAGTGCTTCATGGGTTGGCTATTTGCCTTCGGAATATTTACCGTTTCTAAATCAAATTCTCTCACCAGTATACAGAAAGTATGAAGAAAAAAAAAACCTTCTGAGAATATTCAGAGCAACAGTGTGTATGAGATACTGGGTCTTCAGTTGAAGAGAAAAGCCTACTACAGAGCCAATAATTCAGAATAATTTATTAAATTTAGATTTATCTATTGAATAACCAGCTAAGGATAAAAATACCTCAAAAGGATATAAAACCAAATGAACCATGACATCAATTTGCATAATTGTTGATAATTAATGGAATTTAATCCACAGACATACTGTTTTTCCTCTATTTGAAAACATAGACAACATTTTATCTCTGATCCCTTGATCGTGAGATATTAACCACTTCTAATACTCTAAGTTACAAATGAACTTCTAATACTGTAAGTTACAAATGTTGAGGATCTGGAGAAAAATCTCTCATGCGATTTGAATAAGACCATTATGTTGATGAATCCAAAATATATTCCACAATTAGATTTTAAAAATCTATTAAGAAAACTTTGGGCTGGGCACGGTGACTCACGCCTGTAATCTCAGCACTTTGGGAGGCCAAGGTGGTGGATCACAAGGTCAGGAGTTCAAGACCAGGATGGCCAATATGGTGAAACCCCATCTCTACTAAAAATACAAAAATTAGCTGAGCGTGGGGTGCACGCCTGTAGTCTCAGTTATTTTGGAGGCTGAGGTAGGACAATCACTTGAACCCGGGAACAGAGGCTGCAGTGAGCCAAGATCACACCACTGCACTCCAGCCTGGGTGACAGAGAGAAACTCTGTCTCAAAAAAAAAAGAAAAAAGAACTTTGAGAAACAAAGAATTGGTAAAATGTACAAAATTTCCCCTAAAGAAATCCACAGGGATTTTTTTCTCCCATTATATAGAAAAGAATTCAGAGTATGAAAGAATTAAATATGAGTTAAATTGCTTTGAAGCAAGTTTTATGTGTGTGGTTATTTCCGATTTGTTTCAAGGGATGAAGAAAAACATTCTGCCCACTGACTGTTTTGGTTTCTAAGGACTTCAGAAATTTATGTACAATGAAATGGCCAGATTCATAAATAAATATTGAGTACCACAATAAAAAAGCAGAATAAGTAGTATCAATCCCATAAGAAAACTTTTATAGCAAATACAAAACAAATTGTCATATAATACTATTGGGTCTTCAAAAAAAAAACTTGTCTTCAAAATAAGGCTGTTGGGATCATTGATATATCTGAGTTAACTTGACTCAAAATTTAGTTGATTGTATTAATTTTTTAAACAAAATTGTCAGCATATAATGATTATATATAAAATTATAATTTCAGAGAATAGGAGAGAACAAAAAGGAGAAAGCAGAGATATACTAAAAAAAGGCTACATTTTTCTAAGTTTCTATTAGCACTTAAGATTTTATTGTTAATGGAAATTTTATAACTGACAAAAATTTTTTCTTTACATAAAAATCATTCAAATATGCTTTAATGAAAAAAGAAGAACTACTTTAGTTCTATAAACACAGCTAAGATGTTATATTACTTTTTATTCTCCAGAAAAAGATAGCAAGGGAGGAAATGAGGAACAAAAAAGCTATAGAAAGAAAACAATTATTAGGCCGGGCGCGGTGGCTCAAGCCTGTAATCCCAGCACTTTGGGAGGCCGAGGTGGGTGGATCACGAGGTCAAGAGATTGAGACCATCCTGGT